TAACCCTACCATTCGACCCAGGCATCCCACTCCTTGGAATTTACCCAAAGAATTTAAATTGGCAAACAAAAAAGCGGTCTGCACCCTAATGTTTATTGCAGCTCAATTCACAATAGCTAAGACCTGGAACCAACCTAAATGCCCATCAACGGTAGACTGGATAAAGAAATTATGGGATATGTACTCTTTAGAATACTATACCGCAGTAAGAAACAACGAAATCCAGTCATTTGCAACAAAATGGAGGAATCTGGAACACATCATGCTGAGTGAAATAAGCCAGTCCCAAAGGGACAAATACCATATGTTTTCCCTGATCGGTGACAACTGACTGAACACCAAAAAGGAAACCTGTTGAAGTGGAATGGACACTATGGGAAACGGTGACTTGATCAGCATAGCCCTGACTGTTAATGAACAACTTAATACATTATCCCTCTTAGTAGTTTTTTTGTCTGTTCTACTTAATATGACTGGTTTAATTCTGTAATTAATACACAGTTATTCTTAAGTGTTGAAATTTAACTGAAATGTGATCCCTGTTAAACATAAGAGTAGGAATAAGAGAGGGAAGAGATGTATAATTTGGGACATGCTCAAGCTGACTTGCCCCAAATGGTAGAGTTAGAAACATACCAGGGGACTCCAATTTAATCCCATCAAGGTGGCATGTACCAATGCCATCTCACTAGTCCAAGTGATCAATTTCAGTTCACAATTGATCATAATGAAAGGACTAAGAGTCAAAGGGAGCACATAAGCAAGTCTAGTACCTGCTAACACTAACCGATAGAATAAATAAAGGGGAGAGTGATCCAACATGGGAAGTGAGATACTCAGCAGACTCATAGAATGGCAGATGTCCTAAATAGCACTCTGGCCTCAGAATCAGCCCTAAAGGCATTCGGATCTGGCTGAAAAGCCCATGAGAGTATTTCAGGCATGGAAAGCCAAGACACTCTGGCAAAAGATCTCTGTGAGTGAGATCTCAGTGGAAAGAACAGGTCTTCAAAGAAGGAGGTACCTTTCTCTGAAGGGAGGAGAGAACCTCCACTTTGACTATGACCTTGTCTAAACAAGATAAGAGTCGGAGAACTCAAGGGGCTTCCATAGCCTTGGAAACTCATGACTGGTGCATAGGGAGATTGCTGATGCCATAGACAGGAGTGTCAATTGGTAAAGTCAACAACAGGAGTCACTGTGCACTTACTCCTCATGTAGGATCTCTGTCCTTAATGTGCTGTGCATTGAGATTTAATGCTATAACGAGTACTCAAACAATATATTTCACTTTGTGTTTCTATGGGTGTGCAAACTGTTGAAATCTTTACTTAATGCATACTAAACTGATCCTCTGAAAAAAAAAAAAAAAGAAAAGAAACTATCAACTCCCAACTTGACTCTCACTGGGATTAAACATGACAATAGGTCTGATCTGATTTCATCATCATTAAAAAAAAATCATCCATTATTTTTCACTTTATGTTTCTGTGTGGGAGCAAACTGTTGAAATCCTTACTTAATGTATACTAAGCTGATCTTCTGTATATTAAGATAATCGAAAATGAATCTTGATGTGAATGGAAGGGGAGAGGGAGTGGGAAAGGGGAGGGTTGTGGGTGGGAGGGACAGTATGGGGGGGAAGCCATAGTAATCCATTATTCGTACTTTGGAAACTTATATTCATTAAATAAAAGTTAAAAAAAAAACATATATTTGCTTAAAGAAAAAAAGATGAGGCAATCCGAAGAGAAGTGCTAACGCGTGTAATAATGGAGGTGACACGTAGCTATGGCCACAGTGTGCATTTGGTCAGAAGCTTGACAAGGGCTGTCTACCACCAGATGTGGTTAGTACAGTAGAATCCACAGTCTCTGCTCTGAAACTCTCGGGACCGGATTTGGCTTGGAGTGGGCACTTGTGCATCTTTTTGGGCCCGGTGCTTGTACTTTATGCCGTGACTCCCGTGGGAGACACTAGGGCAATGCCCTCATCACGCATGGCGGTGTTCAGTAACACATATGTGACCCCCGTGGCCTAAGTCCGGCCGTGGTCCTGATGTGCTGGGGTGGATGATGGCACCAAATATGTTTCTGAACTAAACTTAGGCACGAATGTTTTGGTCTTCAGAGCTCTCTCTCTCTAGGTTTCAGAATTGTAGGGTAAGCGACTGTGTCCCTTTCCTGCTGACTACATTGCATCGTTTTCTTAAACCCGGATCAGATTAGTCATGCAGAAAACAGATTCGACCCCAGCTGGGACCGAGCGCCCAGACTCAACCACCTTTTACTGCTTGGATGTGACCTCGCTGTGGATTCTGACTGGCCACAGAGGCCGGGGTGGACCTGTGAGGAAGTTCACTCCGTTCAAGTGCCGGTTCCCTGTGTGGATGAGAGCAGTGCTGGTTTCTGGCCCCGCTCAGCCTGGAGTGAGTGCGCTGTCAGAGGTCTGAGCACCAGGTTCTCTTCGGTGGTTAAGAATGTGGCTGCAGGTGTCCTAGCAGTGCACTCGCTGGTGCCACATGGCTTGGAGTCGGAGTTCACCGGGTTCCATGTTTTTAAAATGAAATCCGTCAATTCTTTGCAGTTGTCTTTTTTTGCGTATCTTCTTTGGTCTTTGCTCAGTCCGGTTATCAATGAAATCTTAATTTGGCAGTGCTTGGAAAGCAGCATAAATAGCCTACCAAAAGTACTGGGAGTTTTGGGTATTTTGTAGTCTGTGAACTATGACATTGGAGAGTAGTTAAGGTTGGATTATTTTTGAGTGTTGTTATTTATGATTGTTTTTAAAACATTCTGTAAAATAGCCAAGTATTGTCTCTGAACATACTGAAGGTGTTCTGTCAGGTTCTTAATTTATAACTGTTGGGAATTTGCTATTCTTTTGTGTAATTACAATCCAAATATATAGAAACTGATAAAGGTGTACTTGAGAAGTATTTGTGGATTTTCCCATATTATGTTGTATTATTATAAAATAATGCATTATAGAATGGCAATAAAATGTTTTCATTTACTTTTCCTTACTACAGTCTCACTTGGCATTCTGGGGGTGGGTAGATTTAGACACGGACTCTGGAGTGAGGGCCATTTGCCTTGTACAACACATGAGTCTTTGTAACTTTTGTAAGGCATCTAGGATTCTCTGGAAGAGTAGGCTATTTTGCTTGTGGTATGTGAACCCAATGTTTACAAATCTTTTTCGTGTTCTGATGCTCTGATTCATTCCCATGGATGATAACAAAAGTAAGATGGAAAGTGGGGCATGTGCCATTTCTAATGGAGTAGAGGCAACACCCATCCCTTTTGTGCCCACTCAAGAAAACTTGTTGGGTGGAAGTGAAGACAACATTTGTTATGGGTGCAGCATCAGACCTACTCTACTAAAGTCATTTACAGATGTGGATACTATATTATTAGTTTAACACTATGGCTCATAGCCTCCTACCTCACCAAGAACATGGCTGCTAATCTATTCATAATAATAATAGTGATACACAATATTTATTGAGTACTTAGTGTCGACTGCACTGCATGTTTGGACTTGCATAATCCTCACAGCCACCCTATGAAGAAAGCATAATAATAATCCACTTTTTATTGGTGAGGAAACTCTGGGAAAGCTTTTGGAGGTTTCGAACATGAGCTAAAGTAGCAGGAAACTAGGCTGTCTGGCTGCAGTGTGCTTTATTGTCTTCACCCCTCTGTTCCCTACGAGGAGATAACTTCTCTGTTCCCTACGAGGAGATAACTTCTCAACTTTCTGTGATTCAACTTTGAGTAACCTCACCTATTTAGAACACAGTTGAGAATGTGGAAGTGAGCCCAACCATTTCTGTAATTAAAACAGGAGGAAAATTCTTGCCATGTAAAACTGTATGTTCTGCAGGCAGTAACGAGCTGGAATGCCTAGCTAGGCTCTGTACTGTTTTGGGTACATTAGTAACAAGCATTGAGTCTGAACCTGTCCTTGGGCCCTGAGAATAACAGTGTAATCACTAATATTTCTTCATTATTAATATAGAGAAATGAAATCTGGTTTAATATGTTGAATATTGAAGGCAAAGGTCTAACTCACTTAAAAAAGATCCTTATGATGAAAGTGGTGCTTAAACTGGGAAAATATTTATCTATCTAGAAGCACTCAATACATCATTGCATGAATAATCCTAGATAACTGAGACAGTGGATATAGAAAAGAAAATTCCAGCATGTAGATCTTAAAATATGAAGACAGCAAACCACCATCTTCAACAATGTATTCTTGATTTTTTTTTCCTTACGGTTTGACTAAGGGTGAAAAGCTGAACTGTGAAATGAATTCCCCCTACTCTATTTGTCCTGTTTTCATTCTCCCTCCAGATCGCTCCTTTGAGGCCCTCAAAGCATCCAAGCGCCCCCCAGCATTGCTGGCTGCAGGCCAGCTCTCCGACCTGCTGAATGGAGGAGATGAAATCTATGCCAACTGTATGGTGATTGATCCGGTAAGGCCCTGGTGTCACGAGCTAGAAATGCAGCGTCCTTGTGCTGCTTCTACCACTGCGGATGCTGCCCTGAAGTCTTGTCAGGAGGTTTTCCTGAGAGCTTTCCATCCTGACAGCACACACCTCGCCCCATGGAGAAGCTCATAAGGGGTGGGTCTGGTAGAACCTCCCTACCTTACAGGAGACTTGAGGGATTTTCAAGGGTAATTTTGACAGCCAAATCTCTGCTGTGTCTGTTGACTTTAAATATCTAATCCCCATGTAAGATGCATTTACATATTCATCTGTGCTGATATTAAGGCATTCTATTGTGTTTTTTAAAGATTTATTTATGTATTTGAAAGGCAGAATTACAGAGAGAAGGAGAGAGAGAGAGTGAGAGAGACAGAGAGAGAGAGAGAGGTCTTCCATCCACTGGTTCACTCCCCAAATGGCCACAACAGCCGGAGCTGTGCCAGGCCTAAACCAGGAACCCAGATATTCTTCTGGGTCTCCCATGTGGAGACCTATCTGTTTCGCTGCTTTCCCAGGCACATTAACAGGGAGCTGGATCAGAAATGGAGCAGTCATGTCTCAAATCAGTACCCATATGGGATGCTGGCATCATAGGCAGTGGCTTTACCCACTATGCACAGTGCTGGGCCCTGGCATTTTACTTTTCTTTTGCTGCTGTTAGTATGTGTATTTTTGCACTCTTACTTACAGATTTTGTTTCTGTATACTAGATCTCAATCACAGCCCTTTAGTTAAATATCTCTAGTTTCTCCATTAGTGTTAAAAAGCATTGTTAAGGGGCCAGTGCTGTGGTGCAGTGGGTTAACGCCCTGGCCTGAAGCACCAGCATCCCATATGGGCGCCGGTTTGAGACCTGGCTGCTCCACTTCCATTCCAGCTCTCTGCTATGGCCTGGGAAGGCAGTAGAAAGAAGATGGCTCAAGTCCTTGGGCCCCTGTACCCACGTGGGAGACCTGGAAGAAGCTCCTGATTCCTGGTTTTGGATCAGCACAGCTCTGGCCGTTGTGGCCAATTGGGGAGTGAACCATTGGATAGAATACCTCTCTCTGTCTCTGCTTCTCCTCTCTCTGTGTAACTCTGACTTTCAAAGAAATAAATAAATCTTTTAAAAAAAAGGCATTGTTAAAACAAATGCATAGAATCAATGGCAAAGGGTGGAGCAGTACTCAGAGTGACAGTGAACCTAATAAATGAGAATGGACATCAGTTGTAAATAACTGGTAGAGTCGTTTTGGTGTAAACCAGCTGAATGTGAGCCCTAGTTATAGAAGTCCGGGATAGGGCATGGGACCAAGGGGGAGCTCTGGGGACATTCTTTTGAAATACAGGGTAATTGTGTCTTCCAGCTATATTATTATTTATTCAGTATTCTCTAGTTTTATTCAGATATTTGACAAATAAAAACTGTGTATATTCAAGGAGTGATGTTTTAATATACATTGTGGGGGCTGGCACTGTGGTGTAGAGGGTAAAGCCACCTCCTGCAGTGCCAGTATCCAATATGGGTACTGGTTCGAGTCCCTGCTGCTCCTCTTCTAATCCAGCTCTCTGCTGTGGCCTGGGAAAGCAGTGGAAGATGGCTTAGGCCCTTAGGCCCTTAAATCCACATGGGAGACCTAGAAGAAGCTCCTGGCTCCTGGCTTCAGATTGGCCCAGCTCCAGCTGTTGTGGCCATCTAGGGAGTGAACCAGTGGATGGAAGACCTCTCTCTCTCCTTCTCTCTGTAACTCTGCCTTTCAAATAAATAGATATTTAAAAAATATTATGAAGTGATGACCATAATCAAGCTAATTTAACATATCCATCAGCTTACATAGTGTGTGTGTGTGTGTGTGTGTGTGCATGCCAAGAATACTTAAGACCAACTCCCAGCGAATTTCAAGTTTGTACAATGAATTATTATTAACCATTCTATACACTAGGACTTCAGAACTTCTTTTCTTATTTTAATGAGTTATTAATTTACTTGAAATAGTTACACAAAGAGAAGGAGAAAGGTGTGGGGCTGGGGAGGATCTTCAATATAGTATTTTCTTTAAAGATTTATTTATTTATTTGAAAGACAGCAAATCAGAGAGAGAGAGAGAGAGAGAGTCTTCCATCCACTAGTTCACTCCCCAGATGGCCGCAACAGCTGGAGCTGAGCCAGTCTGAAGCCAGGAGCCAGGAGTTTCTTCTGGTCTCCTACGGAGGTGCAGGGGCCCAAGGACTTGGGTCATCTTCTGCTGCTCTCCCAGGCCATAGCAGAGAGCTGGATCAGAAGAAGAGCAGCTGGGACTTGAACTAGCACCTATATGGGGTGCCATCACTGCAGGCAGGGGCTTTACCCCCTACGCCACAGTGCTGGCCCCACATACAGTATTTTCTTGAATTATTCGCCCGTTGATGGACACTTCCGTATTTTGGCATTTGTGAATAATGTTGCAGGGAACATGGAAGTGCAGATACTTCTTTGAGATAATGATTTTATTTTCCTTGGATTTATACTACCATTAAATGGTAATTCTAGTTCAATTTCTTTTTTGAGGAAACTCCACATTAGTTTCCATAATGGTTGTACTAATTTACATTTGCATTAACAGGGTCAAAGAGTTCTGTTTGTTCTGCAGCCTCATTTTTAGACCTTTTGATACCAGGTGTGAGGTGATAATCTCATAGAATTTGAATTCTCTGAAGATGATTTGGATTAAAAAAAAAAGTCTTATTTAGGTCTTTTGCCCATTTTTAATCAGGTTATTACAATGTTTTTGTTATTGAGTTATATGGGTTCCTTATGTATTTTGAATACTGACTCCTTGTCAGAATAAGGTCTGTAAGTATTGTCTCCCATTCCATAGCTCACCTTTGCATTTTGTTGATTGTTTCCTTTACAGTGCAGAGATGCTTTAGTGTGGTATATACCTGCTTTTTTATTTTGCTTTTGTTGACTGTAATTTTGGTGTCACACTCAAAGGTCATTGCCAAGACCCAAATTGTGAAACTTCCCCCATCCTTTCTCCTGAGAGTTTTGCAATTTCAAGTTTTACATTTAAATTTTTAATACATTTTGAGATGATTTTTTTGTGTATGATGTAAGAAACTGTTCTTTCCCCGTTGTATATTTTTGGTGTCTTTGTTAAACATTAATTGACTGTGTATGTGTATGCTTATTTTGGGATTTTCTTTTCTGTTTCATTCATCTATATGTCTGTTCTTAGGCCAGTACCATAGTGTTTTATTATAGTTTTGCAATATAATTCAAAGTCATGAAATTTGATACCTCCACCTTTGTTATTCTTGTTCAAGATCCTGTTAGTTATTTTGAATATCTGGTGGCTCCAATACCAATTTGAGCATTGTTTTCCCTCTTTCTGTGAAAAACGCCATTAGAATTTTGCATTGAATCTATAGATATACTAGCATAGATATTTATATAGTATATACAGTAGCATAGATATTTTGACAGTAAGTAATTCTTCTAACTCATGAATGGGGTATCTTTCCATTTTTGTCATCTTTGGTTTCTTTCTTCAGTGTTTCATAATTTTCAGTATACAGATCTTTGCCGTGTTCTGCTTTTAAAGGATTTTTTTCTTTCACCATATTTTCTTAGTGCAAGCAAAATACTTCTTGAATTCATATTTATTTTTTGTTCTGGACTTCAGTGAGTACTAGACTATTCCCATTTACCTCAAATATCTAACCTTTGTAGTGATTCAGTATCATGTGGGAAAATTACGTTTTCATGTGTTCTAAGATACTTTAAAATGCAAGATTTCCCAAACCATAAATAAGTTGGGATTAGAAATTGCTTTGGCCGGTGCCGCGGCTCACTAGGCTAATCCTCCGCCTAGTGGCGCCGGCACACCAGGTTCTAGTCCTGGTCGGGGTGCCGGATTCTGTCCCGGTTGCCCCTCTTCCAGGCCAGCTCTCTGCTGTGGCCAGGGAGTGCAGTGGAGGATGGCCCAGGTGCTTGGGCCCTGCACCCCATGGGAGACCAGGAAAAGCACCTGGCTCCTGGCTCCTACCATCGGATCAGCGCGGTGCGCCGGCCGCAGCGCGCCGGCCTTGGCGGCCATTGGAGGGTGAACCAACGGCAAAGGAAGACCTTTCTCTCTGTCTCTCTCTCTCACTGTCCACTCTGCCTGTCAAAAAAAAAAAAAAAGAAAAAGAAAAAAAAAAAAGAAATTGCTTTGATAATGTAAAGCAAAAAAAGTGAGACATACATTTAGAGGTAACTCAAGTAGCTCAGTTCTATAAACTGAGACATAGCACTTGCTAAATTGGTGCAATGAAAACTGAGAAACAACACTAAATCTATTTACAAATCACTAAGTTCATTACATAGGTGTAGGATAGAAAAACATAGTATTTTTTTTACTGTTCTTGTATTGGCTTGAATAACAAGGACAATGTGAGAGGAGCAAATTGGGCATATTTAAAATATTTTCTAGTAATATCTGGAAAGCATCTAATCTAATTTCCTTTGTCTTCCTCAACCTAGCACAGAAACCTAAAAATATTGCTCTTTCCTGTTGATTTTCATGGATAACAACCTATCTGATAAGGAAATTCACAGGATGAATTAAAAATTTCTCTATCATTTAAACTACATTGAAAGAGTGTTCTATTTGAACATAATTTCATATTCAAAGAACACCTGTATGTATTTTGCCTGATTTCCCCAAATGCTAGTATTTTACCACATTTTACTCTATTGTTCTCTGAGTGTATATGTGCGCATATACATGTGCATGCAAATAGCTAAAATATATATGTAAATATTTTTAAATTTAAAAAATGACACATATTTATTTCTTAACCTTTCACAGTATACTTTCCTGAAAAATGGACATTCTCTTATATAAGTACCATATAGTTACCAAAATCAGGAAATTATTGACACAATGCTATTAAGTATCTTCAGACTTTACTCAGGCTTAGCCAGTTGTATCAATGATGGCCTTTGGTGTTGCCTTTTTGTTGTCATCTCTCTTTAGTCTTTTAAACATTTCTTTAGAGTTTTATGAGTTTGATTTTATTTTGAAGAATATAGATCTCTTTTTGTTTTTGGTAAAATGTCCTCCAATTTTGGTTTGTCTGAACTTTTGCCGTAATTGGATTCACATTATAAACATTGGGCCAGAATTCTATGGATGTGGTGATGTATCCTTCTTGGTGTACTGTATCAGGAGGCACATGATGTAACTTTTCCATAGTTGCTGGCTTATTTTATCTTTGATCTGCATGTTTCTTTTCAGTAAAGTCATTTTTTTTTCCTTTTTTAAAGCAGTAAGTATGCTGTCAGGAGATATTTTGAGTTCGTTAATATCCCATCAGATTTTCACACACTAGTTTAAGCAGTCACATAAATGACAATGATGATACCTGGTTGTGGTGGTGGTATGGCTGTCTTCCGTTTTACTTCCTTCTTCAGACATGAGTCATTTTGACGATCAGCACCTCAAATCATGAGGATTTCAAAGCCCTTCTCTTAGTTTTGATCAACCAGGATTCTATTCACATAGGTAGGCTGGGCTGCTTCCTTCTGGTGATGATTTTCAGAGAAATCGTAGGTCCTTCACTAGCTCCCTGTTCTCTCTGCCATTCAGATTGTCCCAGTGTGCAGTGTTAAGGCAGGGACAAGAGTTTAATTGTTTGCTGGCTTTGGTTACTGTTTGCAGGTACCTTGGAGCTGTGGGACTTCCCTGTGCTGCATTTATGCTGTGTGCACGCACCTCATCGACTTTCATTTTGGTTTTTAGTTGGTGCTTTTCCCTGACGGACTCAGATTTATGTGACCACTGTTACCTTGTTTACCTTCTCCACTATGAACTTCTCTTTGCATTAAAGCTATGTACTTGTTCGTTTTCTTTCCAAGTATTTCAGACATTCTCCTTCATTTTGAGTCACTGGTTCTTAAAATGTTAAAAGCATAATCAGTTTCCGGTTTTGTAATAGTGAATAACATCATAAAATACTAGGCCGATCGTTTTCTTTTCAGTAAATCATGTGACAGCAGACACATGAACAAAAACATATCATGAAAGAATTCTCTATTTACATAAAACAAAACAAAAACAAGCCAAACAAAAAAGATAAATGAGGTGGAAGGTTTTTAAGTTGGGGGGATTTTGTTGATTCTTAACTGAGCCAATCTTTCTGCTTTTGCTCAACAAACATTTTTCTTTCAAATTCCAGGTTGGCGATTTGGATATCAACTATATTAATATAGAGGGCATCCCCGCCAGCACCAGTGCTGAACCCATGGGTTCCACTCTGGGATCTGAGAACCACATGTACCTCCCTCCTACAGAAACCAGCCCTGGTATGTTCCCAGGCAGGGAGGACAGGGAAGTGGTGGGAAATACTGAAGCCCAGTGGCCCTTTACATCACCATCCAGTTCATGCACAATTTGAATCTTTCTTTAGGTCTTCATGGACTCAAGAAAGAACAAAGCCATCTGAAGAAAAGAAGGTAAGATATAGCCTAGAGAAAAAACATAGAAACTTTAAGAACCTTGTAGCTAGACTTGGAGAATCCTATTTTTAAATTTTTTATCAGCCCCACCAAGTTTCATCTGTACATCAAAATGTTGCTCCTCTTTTGATTCCAGTGTTGGTTGATTTGAAAATAAGACACTTGGGCTGGCATTGCAGCATAGGGAGTAAAGCTGCCACCTAGAATTCTGATGTCCCATGTGGGTGCCAGTTTGTTCCTGGCTGTTCCGCTTATGATTCAACTCTCTGCTAATGGCCTGGGAAAAGCAGTGGAAGATGGCCCGAGTTATTGGGCTCTCTGCCACCCATGTCTGAGACCCGGATGAAGCTCCTGGCACCTGGATTTGGCCCGGCCCACCCTTGGCCATTGTGGTCATTTGGGGAGTGAGCCAGCAGATGGAAGATTGCGCTCTCTCCATCTATCCCTCTCTGTAACTCTTTCAAATAAATAAATACATCTTAAAAAGCGAAAAAAGGGGCTGGTGCCATGGCTCACTTGGTTAATCCTCTGCCTGAGGTGCTGGCATCCCATATGGGCACCAGGTTCTAGTCCTGGTTGTTCCTCTTCCAGGCCAGCTCTCTGCTGTGGCCTGGGAAGGCAGTGGAGGATGGCCCAAGTGCTTGGCACCTGCACCTGTATGGGAGACCAGGAGGAAGCACCTGGCTCCTGGCTTCGGATCAGTGTAGCTCCAGGTGTAGCGGCCATTTGGGGGGTGAACCAATGGAAGGAAACCTTTCTCTCTGTCTCTCTCTCTCACTGTCTAACTCTGTCAAATAAATAAAAAAAAAAAGGAAAAGAAAAGGAAGGCACCTAAGAAAATGGACTAAAGTCTAGTAGAGGGAAGCTCATTGAGATTCCTTTTATACTTACTATATTGACAAAAACTTGAAAAATCTAAAGCTGTTTTGGTGACATGCAGACAATGGAGACTCCGATGTATAAGTGACAGGAGCAAAATTGTGTAACAGTCTTGGAAAATCTGAGATTATCACATGAAGTTGAATATGTGCTTTCCTCTGGTATGCTAGGATGCATTCAGAAGTACTTCAAAAATGTGTGGGAAATAGAACTAAAAGCTAAGTTTATTTTTGTGCAAAATAGTTTTGAAATCCATGCATAGCTTTTTTCATAATGTACACTTCCCACTGACTTTGTGGATTCCCCTTTTATATGTGAGTATGAGGGGGCTTCAAATCATTCATAGAGAAGTGAAACTAAAAGGTGATGTACATTTTCTGTGAGCTTTTACAGGATACCTCATTTTTATAGCAGCACAAAATAGCCCAAATATCCATGAAATATTGTGTGATATGATAAAAATCAATTAACTAAATTAAAAATTTAGTTTTAAATTTAACTAAAAATTTAACTAAATTAAAAATTAAACAGCTAAATCTACACATATAGTTTCATGCATCTCGGAAGCATAAAATGAATAAATAACAAAAGTAAGCCATAAAACACTTAGGTTAGATTCCATTTTCATAAAATTCAAAACTAAGCAAATTTGTTATTAGGATTTATAAATATGTACATAAGCTATGAAGAAAAACAAGAGAAGGAAGCGGGGGGGGATCCCCAAATTCAAGATGTTTGTTACGTCTAGTGAGGGATGGAATACATTAGCCTGCAGGAATGTGTCCAGGGTGTGGCCCAAGTTCAAGAGTCAGTTGGGTGGGCTCCTATGTGCCTGCTCATTTTTATGTTCTGTAACTCACAGTTGCCTTACTTGTATTTTCTTGTGTATATAAAAATGTCATTAGCCCTTAAGTTTTATTGTATACAACATGATTACGTGCGTTTCTGTGTGTTTAGACCTGTGTCTGCCTGTATCTGTCCATTCATCCTGTTTGTGTGTATAAATGTTTATCTGTGAATGAACATCCACACAGGTGAGTGAGCATCCAGCAGAGGTTCAGTTGATCAGGAAGGAGAGAAAGGGAGGGGAGCCAGCATTCAGTGGGTGCCAATCTCTGTGCTCTGTTTTGCACTGACAATTTAACTCGAGGTTGTGAAACTTTAAGTAACAGGTATTGGTGTTGGAGGTTGTGTTTAGATTTATATTCTGGACGTTAGTATTTGTTTGGAATTGATTATGTGTGATTCCTGAATTGATGGGCTGTTTTGGGCTCTGTGTGGATTGTGTCGCCCTGGGAGGAGGGGCCGCTGAATCCACAGAGCTGATTGCAGTGTGTGAGATGGGGCACTGTGGCGGGGTCCCCAGGCCCCGTCACGTCTGTGGCCTGGCAGGTCCGGGGAGGTTCACGGGATTTTTTTAGAGGAGGTCCTGCAGGAACATAGAGGTAGAAGGCACTAAGGTCTGTCTGTTTTGCTTGTGCAAATATTCGCTGAGTATCTAGACACCGCGCTGTCACCAGCCCACTGAGTAGATGTCTGAGTCCTGCTCTCTGATCCTAGGCAGGCTCTGGGGCTCAGACACCTCACTGCTGCGGAGAACTTTCCTCTTCAGCATGTAGGAGAAACCTCTACTCTGAGTAAAGGTAATTCAGGATGTCAGCGCAGAGGGAAGAAGAAAGAGGGAAAGGAAGGCGAGGCCATGCCTCAGAACCCGCCCCCCAGGCCGAAGGTCCCACAGGCTGACTATCTCAGGGGCACCCCTCTCCTCTGAGAAATATAGGGAATAGGGGAGAGAACAGTGACCCCTGGGATGCCCTGTTTGACCCTGTAGCCGGGCTTGATGTCATGGCGTGGGGGAGAGGGGAAGGGGACAGGGAGTGTGTAATATGATTGACAGCTCAGAGTGACATGAACCTGATTCGTTAATGTGAGAACACGAACAGTCTGGCACGCTGGGAACTTCTAATGAAGGGGAAATTTGGGGGCACACAATAAAAACTGGGGTTCATATAGGACAAGGCTAGCTAGGACCTAAGTCTTCGGTTTCTAAGGTGTAAAATAGTATTTTAGTGTTACTAAAATATGCACAATTTGTAACCATTGTATTATTTAAATGTAATAGCTCTTTGGAGAAAGCACAAGAGGAAAATAAGCAATAGAGCATCTACTTAAAAATCTTATATAACAGAAAGTTAGATGACAGAAAACAAGTGCTTATTTCAGTCTAAAACTTGTATTTTTCAAAACCTTTTTGTCTTACTGCAATCTGCAGTAAGAAATGCATTTCACATCATGAAAGAGCATGTGGCATTATGTTCTAAAGTACTCCAGTTCATGCTTTTAGAAGAAAATTCTGGTCACAGAATAATGCATTGATTTCTCATCCCTCTAGGGGGAAGTAGGAAATTACTGTTGTGAAATGAGAGTCTAGGGGCCAGTGCCGTGGCGCAGTAGGTTGAACTGCTGTCTGCAGTGCTGGAATCCTATATAGGCACCGGTTTGAGTCCCGGCTGCTTCGCTTCCAGTCCAGCTCCCTGTTAAAGTGCCTGGGAAAGCAGCAGAAGATGGCCCAAATCCTTGAGCCCCTGCATCCGTGTGGGAGACCCAGAGGAAGCTCCTGGCTCCTGACTTCAGCCTGGCCCAGCCCCGACTGATGCGGCCACCTTGGGGAGGGCGGTGAACCAGCAGATGGAAGATCTCTCTCTCAGTCTCTGTCTCCCCCCGGCCCCGGAACTCTGCCTTTCAAATAAAATAAATAAATCTTAAAAAAAATTAAAATGAGAATCTAGTTAGAGGTAGTCTGGAAGTGTAGTGCCCTTGCTGTCAGTGTCTTAGGCTAATAGCTTCACAAAGAAAAGTAGTGGTTCAACGTGTATGAATAAAAGGAACGCTTTAGAATACACGGCATAAAATACCGCAGGTGCTTCTAGGGTGCATTCCCACTGATGCAGAGATGCTGTCTGCAACCAGAAAGACTTGTGATGATCAGGGTGTTGCCACAGGCTGCCCATCACTCAGAACTCACCACCTTCGTGCAGAGATCAGAAGCCAAGAGACAAATGCAGAGCCGCAAGATATCAGCAAGTTTGAGGTGCCTTAGGTCTCCTTCGTCTCATTAGGGAACCACAGAGCACCTGAAATATCTGTTACTGCATTCCTGTTCCATTCAGAGTCCCAGCATTTGCCAGGAATGCTGAGCTTCGCGGTTGGTTTTTGGTAAGAAATAGTCTAATGGACTCCAAGATCCTTGGATACTGAATTAAGGTGAAGCGTGAAGCCCACCTGCAACTTGTTGTCTCAGATTTCTTCTCAATGCCAAGGTGAAGGCCCTCAATGAGTTCCTGAAGGAGGAAGCCCCAACGTTGGGCATCCTCAGTAGCGCCAAGAAGTGGCCTTTACTCGCTGGCCAAGTGTTGTAGTGCCCAGAAGTTTCTGAAATGATTCAAGGATTAGAAACGGAGTGAAATGTTTGCTTTAGAAGCTCAGATAGTAGGACTTCTGTTCCAAGAGGCATCTGATTTATTAAGTTGATATTCTACATTCATTAGATAGCTTGTGGTTTTAGCCTGTGGGTCATACACATACATAAGGTGAGGTGGAGGGAAGAAAATCTTCCATCTGTTGGTCCATCCCTCAAATGCCAACAACAACCAGGGATGGGCCAGGCTGAAGCCAGGAACTTGGAATGCCATCTGGGTCTCTCACATGGGTGGCAGGGACCCAAGTGCTTGAGCCATCGTCTTTCCAGGGTGCCCATTAGCAGGAAGCTGGATCAAAAGCCCTGGTTGCTGGAACTGAAACAGGCACTCTGGTATGGAATGCAGATGTCCCAAGTGGCAGCATAACCCACTTGCTCTAATGCCTGCTCTACCTTTTTTTTTTTAACAACCCAAAAGGTTAATTCAAAGTTTCATGAGAACTGTTGGCCTTGAAGTTTGATTGGTCTGAACATCAATGTTGTGGAATGAAGTGGGAATGTGGAGGGTCAGAGTTTCTGCTTGTAGTGTTACGGTTGTGAAAGTAAAATGAGGAAAGAGAAGTTGTCACGGAGCAGAGTCATGCCTGCAGCGGATTGTTCCTGGGAGTGTTTTCTAGAAATCTCTAAAAATGGCCATGCAGTGTGGGATGAGTGGAACCCGGGATAGCTCCGTGCCGGCCTACACAGCTCTGAGGAGACCCCCGCATGCGTCTCTCGTCTCTCCTCCCTGTGCCCCTGCCTGCCACAGTGCATCTTCCCATATGCAATTCTCCCTCCTCCCCAGGGCCAGCCTCCCAGCAGCCCAGTGGCTCTGTTTGGTCTGCATGTTAAATATTTGCAGAGTTACTATTTGCAGCTTATAATGGTTAGATTTACAAAACATAAATAATGAGGTTAGTACTAACTCAAACCAGCTTTTGTTTCTTTGGGTGCCTTTGAGGTCTGGCTTTGGCCAGGGACAAACATTCATTTGGGGAAACATGAAATGTTGTTTAAAAAAGAGGAGACTTGGAGCGAAGAAAAAGTAATAAAACTCATTAAATAGGGGCCAGCCATGTGGCGTAGTGAGTAAAACTGCCACTTGCAGTGCCGGCATCCCATATGGGCGCCGGTTCTAGTCCTGGCTGCTCTACTTCCGATCTAGCTCTCCGCTATGGCCTGGGAAAGCAGTGGAAAATGGCCCCCAAGTCCTTGGGCCCCTGCACCCGCCTGGGAGACCAGGAAGAAGCACCTGGCTCCTGGCTTTGGGTTGGTGCAGCTCCAGCCGTTGGGGCCAACTGGAGAGTGAACCATCGGATAGAAGACCTCTCTCCTCTCTCTCTCTTTCTCTGCCTCTCCTCTCTCTGTGTAACTGACTTTCAAATAAATAAATATTTAAAAACTCATTAAATATCGCTTGGAAATTAAGTGGCCAGCCACTGCGTGGCACAGCCGTGAGGGAATCTGCACGGAGAGCAGACCCAGTGGTACTGGCTGCTCCCCTGGTTACGTTCTAACCTTGTGCTGTCAGTTCCAGCCTGGACGCCTTGGATGTCGAGAGCGTGGGGGCCGGGCATTCTGAGCACACACACGTGTGCTACCCTCCCGAGCCTCACGGTGCCTCAAGGACCGGGGTTCCTGCTGCCGATGAATTGGATTCTTTTGAGAACGACACAATACCAGATTTTCATATCTCCAGGACTGAATCGCTTTCTCTCTCAAGTAATCTGCAGCCAAAGGTATTGTTTACTGGTATTGTTTATTTGAAGTATGGAGAATTTGTTGTCTGAATCCATCCATCACTATCTAACAGAAAAACTGTTTTATTCACACATTTGAGCCATTTCAGAGGTGAGAGAAGGCCCTTGTGATGTGTGGTTGAGGCTGTCTTTTAAATCTCTCCTACTCTGTTTTAGTTTTTAAAGGCCTATGGCTGGCTTGTATTTTCTTTAATTCACCATGAGGACATACCGTCTTTCACATATTTGGAACATTTTATCGTATGTATGATGATTTCTGTCATTATCCATTAAGGAAGGGGAGAAGAACTCGTGGCACTGAGTTTATGTGATCAGACTTGTGTGGGTCACATACACGTTTGCTTGGCCCAGGAGGGAAATGAGCTTAGTAAGGCAGCAGCATTCCCAGGAAGGCATTCTGGCTGCCTGAACTAATCGGAGCATCACACACTTTGTCAGCGTTTCCATGGGAGCCAAGCTTTCTCTTGGCAGTGCACGCTGAAGTTTCATTTTGGGGTGTGTGTGTGTGTGTGTGTCTGTGTTTAAAGTAAATACATTTTTCCAACCTTGCATTTTTGTGTCTGAATGTGTTTTTTTCCTGCTTCATTTCTTTTATTGTCCATTTCTTTTCTTTTAATTGGAATTGTTTACTCCTCTCAAACAATGTGATACTATGCCAGAACTTCTTTTACTGTGAACATATGGTTATTATGATAATGCATTATTTTTGTAGCATTACTTGCAATATATAAAACCTTTTATGTATGTACTACATATTAATTTTCTCATAACTCACCTAGGATGTAAGTAATGCTTGTTTTTAAATTTTTATTATTTATTTATTTTTAAAGATTTATTTACTTGAAAGGCAGAGTTACAGAGAGAGAGAGAGAGAGAGAGCGAGCGAGTGGGAGTGGTCTTCTTCCCCCTGGCTGCAATGGCTGGGGCAGTGCCAGGAGCTCCATTTGGGTCTCCTACATGGGTGCAAGGACCTAAGGACTTGGACCATCTGCTGCTGCACATCAGCAGGGAGCTGGGTAGGAAGTGGAGCAGCTGGACTTGAGCCAGCACGGATAAGGGATGCCAGCATTATATACGGAGCTTAACCCACTGCACCACGATGCCAGTTCCTCCATCCCCTTTTTTTGTTTCATTGTTTGAGCTGATGAGCTTCTGGAAAGGTTAGTGTTTTATCCAGATTTCCCCCACCCCAATGATAGAGCTGAAGCTCAGATTTAGACCTCTGACCACAGATTCTTGGTCCTTTTTTCTTGGCTTTGAGACCTGTAGCGCAATGATGACCTTTTGAAATTGAAGGTTCTGTGATACTTCTGAATAATAAGAAATGGATATTGTTGGTCATATAGATACTTCTTAGATTTGCATTTTAAATGAAATTGTAAAAAGCTCTTTATTATTTGGAAGGAAAAATAATTCAGTCTTTGAGAAATAGTTTCATGTTGTTCAGGGAGTATCTGTCCTACAAAATAGATCTTGCCTTGCTTCAGAAATTACCTAGTATGACTTTTTACCAAAATTTTTCAGTTTCTTTTTTGAAGATTTATTTATTTATTTGAAAGAGTTACAAAGAGTGAGAGGCAGAGAGAACTTCTCTACCTGCTGGTTCACTCCCCAAATGGCCGCCGTAGCCAGAGCTGGGTCAGACCAGAGCCAGGAGCCAGGAGCTGCTTTTGCATCTCCCACGTGGTAGCAGGGGCCCAAGCACTTGGGCCATCTTCCGCTGCCTTCCCAGGCAAATTATCAGGGAGCTGGATCAAAAATAGAGCAGCCAGGACTCTGAACTGGCACCCATATGGGAGACTAACATTGCATACAGTGACTTTACCTGCTACACCCCAGTGCTGGCACCATAGCAAATTTTTTTAAAGTTTTTTTTTTAAATTTATTTGAAAGGCAGAGTTATAGATAGAGAGGGATGGAAGGAGAGACAGAGAGAGAGAGACAGATCTTCTGTCCGCTGGTTCACCCCCTAAAGGGCCACCATGACCAGGACTGGACCAGGCTAAAGCCAGGAGACAGGAGCTTCTTCCGGTCTCTCATATGGGTGCAGGAGCCCAGGCACTTGGGCTATCTTCCACTGCTTTCCTGGGCATATCACTGTGGAGCTGGATCAGAAGTGGAGCAGCTGGGACTTTAACCTGTGCCCATATGGGATGCCGGCTCTGCAGGCAGCAGCTTAATTCACAGCCTGGGCCCCTAGACAATTTCAAGGTTTCATTGTCTTGAAAAATGATTACCATCCATGACTTCATTGTGCTAGGTCCTTTGTAGCCAGCTCACTGCTGGGGTTTTAGGACAGTTCAGGCTGGCCTTCTCAGGATGCAGCCCCAGCATGTACGCCCTGATAAGACAGTCGGGAGCCACAGCCCAAGGCCCTTGGAGGCAAGGTCAGGCTTCTGTTTTCGGCTTCCTTCTGCTTTCTTTAAACCAATGAACGCAGGGTGACCATGTGTTTTCGTTTAGGAGGAATAGGAGGGACTGTGTATGGTGGCAGAGACAGTTTCCAAAGGCTTGATTTTAGTAGAGAAAGCTGCAATGTTTAGAGATACCCTAAAACTCCATGGATAGGATCAATCCTAAGGCCTCTATGGGATAGGAGTTGGGTGCTATAAATTGCTTTAATGGAATTCTACTGCATATTCACTTAAACTTTCTGAAACATAAGAAAACTATGTTTTAGATTTTTTGCCATCCTGCATTTTTATGAATATTGCCAATATAAAAACAGAAATGATGTGTAATTTGGAAAAAAAAAGAGAAATAGCTGTCATTAAAAAGGAGTACTATTAAAGATATACTAATCAGTGATGTTTAAACATCACTCCAGGAAGTGAAGGAAGGAAGGTCTATTGAAAAATGAACCCAGGCTAGAAGGATTTGTACATTGACCTGATGTATTAATTTCCCTAGAAGCTATAATCATATTATAATTTCAAGTAGCTGCTTTGCAGTTTTAAAACCTCTTATATTTGCAACTGCTTCTTCCTCTACCTTCTAGTATTCCTTAAATGTAGAGCTCTCAGTCGGCGCCGCAGCTCACTTGACTAATCCTCTGCCTGCGGCGCCGGCACCCCGGGTTCTAGTCCCGGTTGAGGTGCCAGATTCTGTCCCGGTTGCTCCTCTTCCAGTCCAGCTCTCTGCTGTGGCCCGGGAAGGCAGTGGAGGATGGCCCAAGTCCTTGGGCCCTGCTCCTGAATGGGAGACGAGGAGGAAGCACCTGGCTCCTGGCTTTGGATTGGCGCAGTGCGCCGGCTGTAGCGGCCATTTGCGGGGTGAACCAACGGAAGGAAGACCTTTCTCTCTGTCTCTTTCTCTCTTTCTCTCACTGTCTAACTCTGCCTGTAAAAAAAAAAATGTAGAGCTCTCTGCTCAGATAAAATTTGTTTGAATGCTATAGTATACAGTAGCAAAGTAACTGATAGCTCAGGTAAAAACAATAATTCATTGTTGAATAGGCAAAGAAAAAGTCATGTAATTTTTCAGTTTTTACCATGTTGGTTGGAATGGCATACTTGCATCCTAAAGTATACATAGGAACTGTTCTCAGAATCTCATGTCTACTTAAAGCATTGAAAAGATGGTGACATTTTGGGTTGGGCTTTTTGACCCAGCTGTTGGGACTCCTGTGTCCTTTGTCACAATGCATGAGTTTGAGTTCTGGTTCTGCCACTAATTCCAGCTTTCTGCCAATTCAAACTCTGAGAAGCAGCAGATCAGATGATGGCTCAAGTAATGGGGCCCTTACCACCCCTGAGGGGGACCTGGATTGGGTTCCTGACTTCCAGTTTCTAGGCATTTGAGCGGTGAACCAGCAGGAGGGAGCTGCTCTCTTTTTCTTTCTCTCGCTGACTTAAAACGCTGATTTATTACCTGTAGTCCTCATGTTTGCATTAGATCTTTAGCTATGATAGTTGGCTTCACTATCATAATCATTTTACTATCTTTGTGTATCCCTTAACATCATGCTATATGCCTTAAATATATTCAATAAATTTTTTAAATGTCAATTAACATTTATGATGAGCGCATCTATTACAAGTCTCATGTAGAGTTTTTGAAAAACTCTATGATAATCTCTTTTAGGAATCACTGCTTTCTGGAATCCGCTCACGTTCTTATTCCTGCTCGTCAACCAAAATTTCTTTAGGAAAAACTCGGTTGGTGCGTGACTTCACAGTGTGCAGTTCAAGCGAGGGTAAGCACTGTTCATTTCACCATTTTGTTCCAGAGCAGCCTCTAGTTAGTGTAAGGACACAGAAGAGCAACAAGGATTTTCAATTTTTTTCTCATAGTTATTTTTTCTCCTGAGTCCTTTTCTCATTGGAAATTAGCATGCACAGCTCTGTTGCTGTGATGGTGCAGACTAGAATTAAGTCCAGGCAGATATTGTGAGGGCTTAGAGCATTTTATTTAAGCCAATTATCACAAATTACTTTGGCTTCCAGTACAAAGTACTAAAATAATCCAACTCCTCAGAACCAAAGCATTGAAAAATGGATTTTTTCTTTGTTTAGAAAGGGACTTTAAAGAGTTGAAATAATAATGTATTTGCGACATGAGTAAATGTATCTGATCTCATTTTTTGTGGCAATGTAAGTAAGTAATCAGAAATCTAACCTTTAAAAATGAACTTTTAACCAAATTATAATATATCTATACAATACTAATGCAGATCATAAGCATGCAGCCTGATGAATTTTGAAAATTCAGATCTATAAATTTTCAGAATTCTGATCTATAGATACAACAATTATGGGCAATTTATCAATCTCTTTGTAGTCTCTCTCAGCCACTGGCCTTATTTTCAACTTTATTTTGAAATGTAATTATTTCAGACTTCCATGAATAATGTATAATAATTATATTTAAGGGGTATATTTGGATCCATCCCATTGCATTATAGTTGACATTTTAATGAAATTTTTGTCAATGCATGAGATAATGCCTTTCTTGTCTATTAGCTTTTAGAGTCTTAAAATATTCAGAAAGCAAGGGGTGTGTTTAAGCATTCTCAGATTCCCAAATAGACGATGTTGAAAACAGGATTTATTTTATTTGTTTCTTCCTCTTTTTCTTATTGTTTTACTTTCTTAAATTGTTATTGTCTTATTTTGCACTTTTATGCCATGTGAAACGACACTAAAAAGGTAATCATTGTGGTTGGGATCACCTCCTCAGACAGTGAGTTGCATATAGTAGATGTCCAGTGAATACATGTTGAGTGAATTTGATAGATACGGTGCAGCAAATATAAAATGTGCTAAGTGAGTTTTTTCCTGGGACATATTATTAAGAGGGACGACCTTGAGACTGAGAGCAAATGTCAGTTTTTATTTCTGGAATGGAGAAATGGAGAAAAGTTCTAAGAGAAAGTAGGAGAGGACATAGTTACCTTGAGAGGAAAGGGAAAGCAAAGGTGGATTGCATTTGCTCTCATGGGTTTTGCTTCTGTTTTTCTCATTTCGTGGATCTTTCTAGTGTCTCCAACTTTAGTTTCCTCCAACCTTAGTTAGGTTGCAGTCTCTTTTGATGGCAGTGTGACGCCATTTCGCTGATGGTGCTAGTGGGTGAATTAGCTTTGCACTGTTAGTGTTTGTGAACAAGTAGGAAGCCTTCTGTGCAAAGCGATGGCCCTGCCTGAATATCTGGGTATCCCTGATTTGTACAGAGTTCTGAAGTTTGAAATTATTGAGCAGATGAGTACCAGAAGTTGATTGTTTAGAAGGAACACGAACCCTAATTGATTGTTTAATGAGCAAATAAAGATATCTTAGCCTTGTATAAAACTTAGATCTTTATATTTCATCTGGCTTACAGAGAATAAAAAGCTGATATCAATCCTCCCCCCCTTTTTAATAAATAGAGCTTTATCTTTAGAAAAGTATACTTAAAGACAAAGCTGTCTGAATAAAGTTTCATATTATCTAGAAGTTAAGAACTACAACCAGGCAATATATGGAGATTCCAGTGGGGAGAACTGTATTGTTGCAGATGTTTGGACTGATACCATTTAAGTGAATCAAGACCATGAGCATATGAATACATGAACTCCTGATGAAGAAGGAGTAACTTTAACTGCTTCTGTGTAACACAAGGATAGGTGTGTACGTTGGCCTAGTTCAAGGCTATAGTCTAATGTTTCATTATTTTATTTGCTTAATCAAAACTAAGTGGACATTTGTGTTGCTGTAAATACTCCCTTGGTGAGTTCTGAATAGTCCTAACACTTTTTCCAAAGAGTGTAAGTCTCTTGGGCTCTAATAGGGAACTTTCATACCCAGCATGAGCCATATTGCAAATATGCAAAGATAGGATGGTCTTTCAGTCCTTTGGATTTTCATTTGCGATGTCCAGTATCCTCACTTAGTCACGAGTGCAGTGGTTGCAGCTTTAATATTTACTGCTGTGTACATAAAGCAAAAGCAAGCTTTTAAATTCCCTGTGGTCCTCTGTGAGTTTAGACAGAAAGGGCATAGTTGGAGTGATTATTTTTATAGCCTCATCAAGATGGACAGAAGTGTTCCACATTTAAGAATTTGAAGAGTGAATTAAGTGTGGTTTTCAAGCTTACTATGAACAGATAGATGAAATCCTTTTAGATTTTGTCCAGTTGCATAAATTGTTCCGTTACTTTATAGCTTGATTATCTTCAGAACATGGTTTATTCTGTTGGAACTTAGGCTGTTTTACAATAAGTGCCGTGATTTCTGCCTGTGACTTAATTTTGAGGAACATTTAATTGTGACTGTAAAATAGAGCTGTCAAATTCTTCAACAAAGTAGATTTTCTGTTATGCACAAGATAGCTTTAAATGCAATGTTAAAATTTACACATTTCAGGGGATATTTATTTGTTCTCCTCCTTTTAGGAGGAAACTTCAAAAAGTTTATGAAAAAAATAGAATTAAAAGATAAGGTTATTTAGGTGCAAAAGTTTTGGAAATCCATATGTAGTTTTTCATAATACAAATTTCTCGTGAACTTTTGGAAGACCCCTTGTGTAGCTAGTTGTGCCTCTTCATTGCTCTGGGTTGTGATGGCGAAGGATTTGTCCTTGAGCTGTAGATGGTTACTCCACAGTGGCCGCTCCCTCCTTCAGTCTCTCTCCTTGTCTGAGTCCGTCCGTGTCTCTGCCCCACCCACGCCGGGAAACAAGATGGCGCTGAGCTGCTTGCATGAGCCTGCCCTTCCACCCTCCAGAAGTCCAGTGGGAAAGGTGGTTCTCCCTTTCCCACGGGCCCACAAAGCACAGCTCAGACCTGGCCATTGCTAGGGTTTCATAAAGACACTGCAGCTAAATTAAGATGGACTCCTCCTTATGCTGGCCTGCAAGACTTGGCATTTGAGCTTTGCCGAAAGGCAGCTAAGATATTTATTGATGGCGTGTGTTTGGGAATTGGTGTTAAGAAAGAGGGGTGAGGCTCTGGTGGGACACAATCGAAGCGATGGAACTAATCCTCTGCACTCTGCAAGTGTTGCTGCCGCTTGCTCACGCTAACTTCCTTCCTGAGTCATTACATGCTACTGTATTTTGGCTTCCTTCCCAACCTCTCCAAACTAGGGAAAGTGATAAAGACAGAGCAATGCCCTCTACTTTTATAAGATTACTTGTTTTCCTGTATAGAATGGTACAATATGACTGAGCATGTGCGTGTCAGACTAACACGTGACTGCTCATGTGTCTGCCTTTGTTTTCATTTGATTTTTCTGTGTCTTGTAGAGCAAAGAGCTTACGGCCTATCGGAGCCACCAAGAGACAAAAGGTACTTAAACTCTTCCGATTTTCCTGAAGGACTGCTTGGTCCATGGTTAGAAATGTCTGTGTGTTGTTTTTTATGTCTGTGCAGTGTCTCGTGAGGGATTTCTGTGTGGGCAGCCTGCCTCCGACCCCTGCTCCCTCTGCGGTCTGTGTCCACGCAGACGGCCAGCCCTGTTTTCGGGTGTGCAGACTCAGCACCAGGACAGGGCGTTTCATCTTGGGTTATTTTCACAGTGGACTGTGCAGTCCCAGGGAGAGCAGGGGAAGGGCAGCCTACTTTGGGAAGGCTACACGTGTGCTCTGGGCCTGCTCTCTGGGATTAGAGGAAGCGACCCCTGGGAGGTCGGTTGCAGAAAATACCTAAAGCATCCCTGCTGTCTCTCTTTATGGATCTTTGCTAGGTTTGAAGCAAAGAATGAATTATGCAGAGAGTACTTAAGCACCTCACACTTTCTGGTGGATGTGCATATTCGAAAGCTTCCATATAAGCTTCTCACTGTTTTCCTAGAAGGTAGAGCTGTTGCCAGAGTCAGGCTTGGGAGGCCGACAAGTATGCAGGCGTGCTTTCTGAGTTATGTTGGCCTTGAATAGCTCATTGCCCATGACTCATGCAGTGACACAGTGGGGCTCATGGGCAAAACAAGTTCTAGAAATAGGATAAAGCTTGGGATATGCACCATCATCCGAAAAAGAGTAGGGTGGCTTTCATTTTGGTGATGTTAATGCTAAAGCTCTGAACATTTTGATATATAGATCAAGATGAACTATTTTGTTTTAAATCTTAGAAGAAACATATCAAGAGAAAACAGCATCTTTTTGTTCACTTTTTTTTTTTAATTTTTTGACAGGCAGAGTTAGTGAGAGAGAGAGAGACAGAGAGAAAGGTCTTCCTTTTTCTGTTGGTTCACCTGTCGCTCCCCGTCTTCGTGGAGGAACGACACAGGACCCTGCGCTGTTCTTTCGTCTGCTCGGCCCTCCCCGGGTTTGCTGCTGGTTCTTCCCGGGTTGGCTACTATCCCTTCCACCTCCGTGGAAGGGCAGTTCCCCCTGGCCACATTCCCCACTTCCGCAGGGGAGCGGCACACCGCCGGCCGGCTCTCTCGGGGGGCTGCACAGGTGTTCCCTTAGATGTTCCCCTTAGATGTTCCTCCGTGCATGCCGTCTCTCTCCTCCTTTATAGTCCTCCTCTGCCAATCCCAACTCGGCTGCCCACACGCCGAGTACGCTGCTCTCCAATCAGGAGCAAGTCCTACAGTTTATTGGTTGAACTGGAGGCAGCTGTGCGGAAGCTGTTTACTTCTCTCCCAGCGCCATATTGTGGGAGAGCAGATGCATAGAATAAGTCTTAATTCCAGTAACTCAGTCCAGTCCGGGCTGCTCCCCACATTCACCCCCCAAGTGGCTGCCACGGCCGGTGCACTGTGCTGATCCGAAGCCAGGAGCCAGGTGCTTCTCCTGGTCTCCCATGCAGGTGCAGGGCCCAAGTACTTGGGCCATCCTCCACTGCACTCTTGGGCCACAGCAGAGAGCTGGCCTGGAAGAGGAGCGACCGGGACAGAATCCGGTGCCCCAACCGGGACTAGAACCTGGGGTGCCGGCACCGCAGGCAGAGGATTAGCCTAGTGAGCCGTGGCATCAGCCCACTTCTATTTTTTATCATGAGATCAGAATAGAAACTCTCAGGGAAACAAACAGGATAATTGAGAATGCCTTTGAAGGACAGGATGACGATGACGATGATGGCACCACTGCAGTGACAGTGGGGATGACAGCAGACGCTGTAATAACTGACAATTATTGAGTGTTTTACGTCCCTGTACTGTTTTCAACAGCTTACATTTATTACATTGTTTAAGCAGCTTGCTTCTGAATTGTAGAATTTGGTCATCGTTGTGGTCATTGTTTTGATTAGCAATCATCTCCCTGTCTTCTCTTTAACAATTAGAGAAGCAGCAGACCGATTATAAGGTTTCTTCTTTTTTAAAAAAAAATCAAGAATATTTGTAACTGGAGCAGTAGTGTTGTACTTAGCTGAACATTCGCTTCTGAAGTGTTTTAAATTGGATGAGAGGTGTATGGAGTCCTTTTCTCTCTCACTCCTCATTCCCTATCACTTTTTTTTTTTTTTTGGACAGGCAGAGTTAGACAGAGAGACAGAGAGAAAGGTCTTCCTTCCGTTGGTTCACCCCACAAATGGCTGCTACAGCCAGCGCGCTGCACCGATCCGAAGCCAGGAGCCAGGTGCTTCCTCCTGGTCTCCCATGCAGGTGCAGGGCCCAAGCACTTGGGCCATCCTCCACTGCCTTCCCGGGCCACAGCACGGAGCTTGACTGGAAGAGGAGCAACCGGGACAGAATCCGGTGCCCCAACCGGGACTAGAACCCGGAGCACCGGCGCCACAGGTGGAGGATTAGCCCACTGAGCCGCAGCGCCGGCCTATCACTCTTTCTTTATTCTCCCCCTGTTCCTTGATCTCTCTTGAAAGCATCTGCCTCTCTCAGTCATATCCCATAGTGAATCTGGTAGAATAGATTCATCTCACCTGCCCTATCCCTGATAGCTCATTGTCTATGCACTGAGATCCTCAGCCGTACCTAATGCTTTGCTCTGGTCTTGTTCCTTCCTTGGAATTCTGTTATTTGTATTAATCAGTTCGTTTCTGAAAAAGAATTGGTACCTAGGTATAAAGGTAATTCTGCTCTTGCAGGCTCATTTCAGAGACATTCTGAACATCCCAGTTTCTTAAATTATATGGCATGGTTCAGTTATTTTATTTCTTGCAGAGTGGGAATTCCTTTTAGCTCTTCAGATGCCCAATTCTTTAAACAAAAAATTGTAGATATGATCAATTAAAGGTTAAGATCCTGAGAATCTGGGGGTGGACATTTGGTTCAGCCATGAAGATGCCAGTTGGGGTGCCCACATCCCATATCAGAGGCCCTGGTTTGAGTGCTGGCTACTCTGCTTCCAGTCCAGCTTCCTGCTAATGTACACCCTGGGAGGCAACTGGTGATGCTTCAAGTAATTGAGTCCATGCCACCCACATGGAAGGCCCAGATTGAGTTCCAGGTTTCTGGCTTTGTCTTGGCCTGGACCAAGGGATGAGAGATCTCTCTCTCTCTCTCCTCTCTCTCTCTCTCTTCAGAGTTGAATGAAAAAAATTGAGGATCCATATATATTCTTAGTATATTTTAAATATGTTTACCTATTGAAAAGATTATACCAGGAAAGTCTCTGAAGAATGGAGCTTGTAGAACTTTATTGTGGGTGATTCTGTTGGTTATCAAACTGATAATGAATAAGACATTCTTGTTCTGGGGTATAAAAAAGAACTCGATTCTTCTCAGATTGTTAAAAACTAAAAGGTAATTAAATTCTATTACGCAGTCAGTTGAGAATTTTTTTTCTCAGTTTTTGTTTATAGTACTAATGTTAATAAAGGTGAATATCACACAGTTACAGTAGGTTTGAAACAGAGTCATCCAACCTCTGCCTTTGCCCAGAATGTACACAGTTTTACCCATTCTCATAATCTGCTGGTGGATCATGTCTGCGACATGCACACTTCTACCAGATTGGGTGCTAGTTCTAAGACTTTAACACTGAGGGTTTTGGCATGTTTCTTTCCTTTGTCGTCTCTTGGCTCCTTCCAACCTGTGAGCTTAAAAAGCTAAGTGATTTGGTTTCATGTAGTTTATAGAAGATATAGGATAAAAACTGAAAGTGTTATCCTTTATACAGTCTTCTGAAACGCGGAGAATTGCAAGTACAGTTGGGTAACTGGGAATTAATTTTCTTTTATTTGAGAGAGCTGAGTTGTGTTCCTGCTGGGAGGCAGAGGAAGGGCCCTCTTGACCCCAGAATCCACACTACCCTTGCCATTCTTTGATCCTAAGATTTAGGTCTCCTCACCACAGTGCTCTTCCCCCTGCACTGGCCAGCGGTTGGTGGTGGTAGAAGCTACACCTCAAGAGAGGATCTTTTCTAGGCTCTGAAATGCTTTTCTTTTCCTGCTCCCAAAGTGAGTGCAGCAAATGTTATGACATGAGCTTTTGCAAATTGGGAGACTGGCTAAGCCACTGAGGGCTATGGAAGACTTCAGATTATGTTAAGCAGAGAGTTATCAAAGACAAAAGTGACTAGAGGTGGTTGTGGCAGCGGAAAGGAAGTGAAGTCTTGGACCTGGTAGGGTGCACCCAATTCTATTCACTTCCTTTTTCCTTCTAACCTTTTCAAATCCTTTCTCTCCATAGCAGTCCCAGTCTCACTGAGTGTTCAGAGTTTAAGTAGAAAGACTCACTCTCCAGACTATGTCCTTGGATCTGCATGGCCCTGAGGAAACTCTGAAGCCATTTAGTGATTTATCTCTAACAGCATCCATAGGCTTGGATTCTAAAGCACCCAATGTAGAGCTTAGATAACTTAGTTTTGTTATAATATGTGCCTGGTACATACATGTTAGAGTGTAAGAATGATTTGCAGAGATAACGTAGTCTGTTGGTTTGAGTCCCGGCTGCTCCACTTCTGATCCAGCTGTCTTCTATGGCCTAGAAAGTAGTAGAAGATGGCCCAGGTACTTGGGCCCCTGTACCCATGTGGGAGACCTGGAGGAAGCTCCTACCTCTTGGTTTTGTTGTGGCCACTGGGGTAGTGAACTAACAGATGGAAGATCTCTCTCTCTCTCTTTCTTTCTCTCTCTCTCACCCTGCCTTTCAAATAAATAAGCAAATCATTTTTCAAAAAAAAAAAAAAAGGAAAAAATAGTATAATCTAAGTGTGTCAAGAATCAATGATAAAAACTAAAGTCTTAGAAAGTTGTGAGAGCAATGTTTGCACATTATGTAATCACATACTAATCTATCTATAATGTAGCTTCTTTGACAGCTTTCATGAGGCAATGTGTACATACACCTACATACACATAATACATAAATACACCTGTGCATACACACATGCATGCATGTGTATGTGTATACTGTCCTTTGTGCCCTCCTCATGTCCTAGAAATCATGGTAACAGATTCTTTTTTGTAGAATTCAGGAAGAAGAATGGGATAAATACATCATACCTACCAAATCGGAGTCTGAAAAATACAAAGTGAGCCGGACTTTCAGCTTCCTCATGAATAGGATGACTAGTCCTCGGAATAAATCCAAGGTGATTGTGGTTCTGTCCCCGGTCTCCGTTAAGACACAGGTGGCTTGGTTTCTCAGTAAGTGGTAGAGTTTCCACTTCCCCTTTAAACTCAGTTATCTTAGATTTATGCACAGCTTTTCTTCTGGCATATTGTCCAGGTCATTAGAAATGTGAAGACAAGCACATGCTAGAGACTGCCATTTTGGTGTCATTGTGCTCCTCTGTGCACAATGTTCTTATGTTCCTAAAGAAAATGTAGAAACTCTGTTCTCTGACTTCTGCAAGAAGCTTGGCTGATGCCATTTTCCTTTTCTCATTTCCCCACCTTCCTGCTGCACCTGCTGTTTTTGAAGATGAAAAGCAAGGATGCTAAAGACAAAGAGAAACTCAGTCGACATCAGTTTGTCTCAGGAACATTCGCTGGTGTTCTGCAATGTTCAGCTTGTGATAAAACCGTCTTGGGAAAAGAGTCATTCCAGTGTTCCAGTAAGTTCTTAGGTCCAGAGAGAGATGTCTTTGGGTTTGTCTCCTTGGACAATAAATGCCCTTGGGCATGGGGTTATTACTAAACAGGTTTACATAAACCTGTTTCTTGCTCTACATCTATGAAAAATTCAGCCACACAACCGCCGAACCTGGGTGGAGTCAGTACTTTCAGTCTGTGAGCGATGGCCTCCATGAACCCCATACCTGTATACCTCATTGCTGACTTGACAGGTCTACAAGCATCTCAGGGGATGCAGGCCCAGCACTGGGCTCTCGACCACTCCCTAGAGAGAGCCCTCCTAAAGCTGATCTTCCCAGGTATCAGCAACGCCATCATTCCATGCCAACAGTTTCGGAATATTTCCTTACACTTCCCTTTCTCTCACTTCCTACATCCAAGTCTTCAGCAATCCTCTTGACTCTATTTTCAAACTACGTTCAAAGCCCAGCCAGTTGTCACCCCAGTCACTGATGGCATTCTGGTCCACAGCCGCTGTTTCAGCAGCATTCCACTTGGTATCCTAATGCTTTTATCCCCTAGTGTCTGCCCACAAAGCATCAGCCAGTGTGAGCTTGTTAGGGCATGGATCCCTGCGTCCCAAATCCTCCAACAACTTCCCATGTCCCAGAGCCCTTACAGTACTCCCCAGGACGTGTCCCATTCTCTTTTCCTCCCTCCTTGTCCCTTCCACTGGATCCCTTTGGGATCTTTACTGTTCCTTGAACCTACCAGATGTGTTCCTTCCTTAGGGTCTTCCCTGTGCTCCTACTGCCTGCAGCTAGCTTCACGTAGCTCTGGGGGTTGCTCAGATAATCCTGCTCCGTCACACCTGTCCTGACTGCTCGGGGCCTCTCTCCTCCCTGCAGTTTTCCCCTATCGTATTTATTGCCACAGGACTTTGTATATGCTTTCTGTATTGACTTTATTATCTGTGTTCTTCACCATAAGCTCTATCAGGGCTGGAGTTTTGTCATCTGAACTTTTTCTCTGCTGTGACTAGAATAATACCTTGCATGTCACTGGTGCTTAGTAAATATTTGTTGAATAAAAGAGTAATCCAGAGATGAAGGATTCAGGCCCAGGTAAGTGAAATGCGTTTCATGGGAGCTTTTGGTAGCCAGCATTGGGAGATATGGCTTGTGGGTGGTGCAATGGCTGCCCAGAGGGAGAAGAGCAAGGGACAGTTGCATGTAAAGGTCCTCACTTATGTCCTAGAGGATGGAGGAACTGATTTACAAATGGGTCGTATCAGTAGTTGTACATCTGATAAACACGCCATGTGTGTGGCATTAAGGGAACATAGGATTTTCTTACCATGATGCTGTCTTTAGTTATATCAACTCCACTGTGTGCTTTGGCTTTGCATTTCTTGAAGACAGTTTCTTTTACTGGATCTGAAAGGCTTAATTTGCTACTTTTTAAAAAAGATTTTCTCCAGGTTGCTGATGGGTGGTCCAGGCTTGCTGCCGTCTCCGCAGCCAGTTTCTGTCTGAGGGGCGTGTGCTTGCTTCCTGGGGTGGTGCTCTGCTCTTGTTTGTAGGACTTACTGCCTTCAGTTGAACCCCTCCCTCCCGCCCCCCATCACATCTAAGACCTTTTTCTTCTCTAAGACAGACTCCTAAGCTGGATAACGTCCGTGCCGTGCTTTAACATCCGTCCCCACCATTCTTCATCAGCCACCTGCATGTTGGCCTCTGTCCACGCTACTTCAGAGAAATCCTGTTTTTGATGGACATTTGGGATCACTTTCTAGTGGATCATGAGCGTCTTTCCTCCTGATTTCATGTCCACATCCCTCATTCTAGGTGGATGTTCTCTTGACCATGGCACACTGCTGTCCTGTCTTACCACCTGTGCTGCCACTTTTGCCCCGAGCACCTCCCAAACTCAGCACTTATTCCTTTGCCCTTTATTGTTCCTAAAACTAGATCTTATATTTTTTAAATTAAAATATTTATTTATTTATTTTATCTGAAAGGCCGAGTTACAGAGATGGAGAGGCAGAGGGAAAGAGAGAGAGAGCGAGAGAGAGAGCGAGTGAGCTTCCATCTGCTGGTCCACTCCCCAGATGGCCACAACACTAGAACTGAGTCAGTCTGAAGCCAGGAGCCAGGAGCTTCTTCCAGGTCTCCCACATGGGTGCAGGTGCCCAAGAACTAGGGCCATCCTCCACTGCTTTCTCTGGCACATTAGCAGGGAGCTGTATCAGAAGCAGAGCAGCTGGGACACAAACTGGTGCCTACATGGGAGGCTGGCATTACAGGTGAAAGCTTTACCTGCTATACCACAGTGCCAGCCCTGATCTTACATTCTAGAGTACCACATTCACACCTGTTCCTCCCAGCTTGATCTTCTTATCCCTCACTTTCTCCTTGCACATTTCTAGTAGCCAAAGACTGAGAACTGTGTAGTTGATGTACACCTTTGAGAATTATGGCAGAATGACAGATGTAAACCAAGATGGTTGCAAGCACACTGACCACCCAGATCCCATATGTCCACAATCCACATGCAAAAGGCTGCCCTCCTGCATGTGTTAACGGCCCTGAAAATGCAAACCTTGGCCATACAGACCCATTTCCCTTTTGTCCCAGCCCGTCATGTTTCCATTTCTTTCTTTTCACTGGTACCACCTCCTGGATGGCTGAGTGAATTATCCTAGTTTCTCTCTGTCTAAATAGGAATATTTCTTCCACACTAATCTTTTTAAACACAACTTTCATCACCCCATATAAACTTAAGAACTTCTGTCTGTTTTGTTTATTGGGCTAAACCCCAGCTCTTGAAGTGTCATCCACTTTGCTCATCTGTGAGCTGCTAACTAGTCCCAAAGTCCTGCTGGCTGCCTGAGTTCTCAGACCTGCTGCCTTTTCCTCCTCTCCTGCACATGTTTTCCTGCCTCTGCCAGATCATCTTCCCTCCCCCCGCCCCTTCTCTGCATGGATCTAGATACAGTGGTACTTCATGAAAACAGAGAATTAAAAAAGTCAGTTTCTCTTAAGATTTGGACTATGTATCTCTATTCTCTCATAGCCTGTAGGATTTCTGATGAGAAGTCAGCTGTGAGTCTAATTGGAGATCCTCTGAAAGTAATCTGGCATTTTGCTTATGAACATTTTAGAATCTTTTCTTTATGTTTTACTGTTGAAAGTTTGACTCCATTATTCAGGAAGTTTTCAGTAATTATTTCACTAAATAGGCCTTATAATCCATTCTTTCTTTCTTTCTTCTTTTCTTTTTTTTTTTTTTTTACAGGCAGAGTGCATAGTGAGAGAGACAGAGAGAAAGGTCTTCCTTTTGCCTTTGGTTCACCCTCCAATGGCTGGCGTGGCTGGCGCGCTGTGGCCGGCGCACTGCACTGATCTGAAGCCAGGAGCCAGGTGCTTCTCCTGGTCTCCCATGGGGTGTAAGGCCCAAGTACTTGGGCCATCCTCCACTGCCTTCCCGGGCCATAGCAGAGAGCTGGCCTGGAAGAGGGGCAACTGGGACAGAATCCGGCGCCCCGACTGGGACTAGAACCCGGTGTCCCGGCGCCACTAGGCAGAGGATTAGCCTATTGAGCCGTGGCGCCGGCCATATAATCCATTCTTTCTTTCTACACCTACAGGGACTCCTAAGACCTGTATGTTTGGTTATTTGATAGAATCCCGTAAATCTCCATCCTTACAAAAGATGCTTAAGGATGTGCTACACACATAAACACATAAAGATAGTCATCATTATGAAAGAATATGAAGGTAGAAAATCTCCCAGTAAAAGTACAAAAGAAATCCAAAGTAAACAATAGGAATATTTATGGAAAAATGGCAAGACCAAGTAGTTACTTATCAATAGTCACCTTGAATGTAAGTGGCCTCACTTCCCCAGTTAAAAGTTACAGACTGGCTGAATAGATTAAAAAACAAGGTCCATTTGTTTGCTGCCTACAAGAAACGCACCTCTCCAACAAAGATACATAGATACTGAAAGTGAAATGATGGGAAAAGGTATTCCATGCTAACAGAAAGCAAAAAACAGCTGGTGTAGCCATCCTAATATCAGACAAAATAGACTTTACCACAAAAGCTGTTAAAAGAGATAGAGAAGAGCACAATGTAATGATTAAGGGATCAATTCATCAGGAATATGTGACTATAATAAATGTATATGCACCCAATTACAGGGCACCTTCCTATTTAAAAAACATGTTGGGGCCCGTGCAGTGGCATAGTAGGTAAAGCTGCTGCCTGCAGTGCCAACATCCCATATGGGCACTGGTTTGTGTCATGGCTGCTCCACTTCCAATCCAGCTCTCTGCTATGGCCTGGAAAATCAGTGGAAGACAACCAGAGTCCTTGGGCCCCTATACCTATGTGGGAGACCCTGAAGAAGCTCTGGCTCCGGGCTTCAGAACAGCTCAGCTCAGCTCCGGCCATTGTGGCCATCTGAGGAATGAACCAGTGGATGGAATGGATAGAAGACCTCTCTCTCTCTTTCTGTGTCTGCTTCTAACTGTAAATCTGACTTTCAAGTAAATAAATAAAAAATCTTAAATAAAAAAGAAATGTTAACAGATCTAAAGGGAAACCAAGACTCCCATACAATAGTAATGGGGGACTTCACTACCCCACTTTCATCAATGGCAGATCAACAAGACAGAAAAATCAACAAACAACAGAGCTAATCAACACTGTGGACCAAATGGATCTAACTGATATCTACAGAACTTTTCACCCCACAGTTGCAGAATACACATTCTTATCAGCACATAGAACTTTCTCTAGGATAGACCATACACTAGGCCATAAAATAAATCTCAGCAAATTTTTAAAAAATCAAAATTGTACCATGCATCTTCTCTGATCACAATGGATTGAAGCTAGAAATCAGCAACTCAAGAATCTCTAGAACATACATAAACACATGGAGACTGAACAACATCCTCCTGAATGATCTGTGGGTCATAGGAGAATAAAAAAATTCAGGAAATGAACAAAGATGACAATGCATCTTATCAAAA